TGAAATAATTAATACAAGCATCTATGAGTTCAGGACGCGCGTCCATGGAAAACTATTTCCGTGACATCGCGCGGAGAAAACGATGTGCTGAGAATTTTGTCGCCGGAATCCGGAGTGTTGATCAGGCAATAGGCTCCGGGTACTGTTTGAACAATCTCGGCCGTTTGGATGTTCCACACCTCCACCCGTGCGTTGCAGAATGCAAGGAGATACGGTTCGTGTAAGGCTGCAATTCTGTTAGCCACCAAGCAAGGCGCATGAATCATTGGAATTACCGAAGGCGTTGGAACGGCGAGTCCACCGCATCACTAACTCCCTACGAGTCCAATCGCCTCTACGATCGACGTAATACGCTACTTCTAGAAGACTTCATGAGCGTTGGATTCACAATACGCGCAGTGGGGGGACGCACTCTCATAGCAAACGAGTAAATCATCGGCTACCCGAAATATCGTGACGGGACTGGAGTATTGCAGCGACAGTTCGAGTGTCGCTGGATCATTGTCCCGCAAGTTTTGCGTGTCCATGGTCACCAAATCCACCATCAAAAATCCCCCTTGTGCCGAGGTTCCTTTCATTATCGCGGCTGCAATACGCGTCCTTCCGAGAAATCGGACAGAGCGGTACTCAGCAGGGGTATCCAGTTCCTACAGCAAGCACATTATCAAGTCAAGCGACGAGGCAAGCAAAAAAAACGCTTTACCCGTGCGATCACCAAGACCGAAGCCTGATTATTTCGATGTACATCGAAAATCACCATCACGGATCCGGACGATGTCGGTCTTGCGAAGACACAAACCCGAGGAATTTCCCCCGGAACTGTGGTCCTGTACACAGCGAAAAACGATACACTGTACCAAACGCGGGTTATATCGCGGCGCCTGGCCGTACCAGAGTGGACTACGCTCAGAGGCAGGGTCATCAAGGTGCCACCTGTGAAGGGTTCAGCCAACGACTGGGGCTGTTCAGAGAGACGCTTACCTGCAACGCACAGAAAGAGGTTCGATCCCGGAAGAATTTCTATCTGCGAAATCTGTGGCAGGGAAAGGAGCATTGACTGAGAGCCGTCAGGGAACCCTCCGTGCACGCCGTCTCTAGTTCCATATAGTATTCCACCGTTGCTTCCTGACGATGAAAGTGTTCAGATTTCAGGATTGCAGGTCAGGAACTGAGGAAGTACCGTGGTGTGGAGGGACGGCACATTCAATCGCCCCGAAACCATCGTGACCAATCAGAGGGACAGGATGGCAGACCCTCAGTTCTCGTAGAATACAGCGGCTGCGTGAGGCCCAAGATCGACAGACGAGACTACATGCCACAAGGGATGGCTTATCGGAGCCGAGACAGTCAATTATAAGTTCGTAGAGTTCTGTTGGGATTTGGTCGGTTAGGGCATTTGGGAACGGCGGCAGAGGTGAGCTGGGCGGCTTATTTGTGCCGCTCAGAAACTTCCAATAATCAGAGGCCGTCCGATGGAGGTTGGAGGAGCTTCGAGTCCTGTTAGAACGTCGGGAGGATATGTCCAAGGGCATGTCAGATCAAGTACTGGTGCCTAGGGGGATTCGGAGCGACGGAGCCAATATCAGTTTGGGGTTGTAGGATTGGAGAGATTCAGGACGTCAGGATAAGAATGCTGGCTGTGAAGATACGATTGTTACTGAGGTGGTTCTGGTCAAGGTGGGCGTCGCTTGTGTGTTGCTTGTGCACCCGAGCCCGGGGCCTGGCTCATCATTTACCCGTGACGGGTTCCGGCAAATTGCGGCAGCGCCTCATACAAAAAAAGTTGAATTTCGCTTACCCAGACGCAGATCGTAGTGGGAGCTTGCGACAGTGGAATAAATTGTATATCAATGCAATCGGACTCATGCCCGGAGTTTCTTTGCGCGTATCTTGCGAACCGCAAGTTCAACACGTGGCTGTGCTCATGGTTGAATTCCTCATTCGCAGGAGTCCCGAGGGTAACTATGATCGTACAGTGGAATCGTGCTGAAAACATGACGGAACCTCTACGTGTATGGGCTATAGGTAATACTGGAGGAAAAAAGTGGAGAGAAACGGCAAAAGTCATACCTGCTAGTTTGAATCACAACGCATTCGATCATCCGTTTCTAGGGACGTCTTCCCCTGCCTCCCACTGTTCGAAGCTAATTAACTTATTACACACGTCCATGACCGTATACGTCCGTCAACTGAAGTTGAACATGCCATAACTGTGCGTAGGTTGTTTGCCTTGCCCAATTTTAAGCTACGGAAATGCCTCGCCGACTCTCCGGGAAAAAGACACACAGGTGTACAAGAATTATCATCAAAACAGTCTGCAGGGCGTGATAAGAGTAACTATGCTTATCGTAATCGTATCTGGTGCAGAAAAAAAAGGACGAGTATTGAAACTGCTTGCTCATTCTACCGCACACTTACAGCTGTCCATTTCTTGCGTTCCGTCCGTTGGTGGGTGTCAGCGGAGGACGGCGAGAGGAGCCCAAAGCCGATACTCGGCTTGCTCCGCTGCCCGAATTCTATGGAAAGGGCGCGTCAGCATGCGTTTCGAATATGTAAATAGACACCAACCTTCGGCGTCGTGCGCGCCTTCCCGAAATCGTACTGAACAGTGAACAGGCTAATCAGCACACCGGGGTCAAAATTACACATAAAACACACCTCGAAGCCAGGCTCCAAGAGGTGTCCGTGTTCCGGCGTGCGAGGGCTCGGAGGAAGACTTGAGCTCCGGGTCTACGTGGTGCGGGTAGTTAGTCCGTGTCGACTGCGGCTACGCTCCGGCACAGGAAAACATACAGGATGAACCGGCGCGTGCGGGGAGAAATGAGGCATCCGAATCTCCTATCCAAGTCCGTGAGCTTGAATAGTCGGAATAGCACTGAAAGAGGCTACTTACCGCGCGGCTACGCCGTTCTGGCTGAGGAACGGCGTCGGGCGAAAGGTTCTAGTAAGCTAGTATAAGTGCTCTAGAACTCACGGGTGGTTAAAAACACGATACGTACTATTATCGTGCGCATCAGACCCTCCAAAGCAAGCGAAACCGAACGCGGAGATGCTTCGCCCGCCTTCGCCGAATCCATCTATTTATATTCGCATGTAAGTCATTTCGTGGAACGAGTGAGGAAATCAAGTAGTTACCAGCAGCCTCTCGAGAAGCTGTGTGGCTTGAAGCTGCGCGCGAGGGCTGTGGTCAAGCCTTGCGCCCGCCGCAGCGAGATCCCCTTCGTGTCCCTCCTATAATCTCAGTCAGCGTCGACAGAATAATTGCCACGCAAGGCTTACAAGATCGTGCAAGTCCTCTGTGAGAACCTCCCCGTGGATAGCAGCCTCGGAGTCCAAATCGAATGCCGAAGGATGGAGACCGACGTTCTAAATCATTTGCATGGTACATTTCGGGCGACTTGAGTCAAGAAAGAAAATGCGCACAAAATTGCAGGGGCCGTAGAAAATATTTGAGCGCACGGTATTTCCGGACTGTGAGGGCTGACGGGGTGTCTGCAGCAGAGCCTGAGGATATGTAATAAGTATACTATTGCGAAAATAAAGACATGCCCTGACCGAGGAACGGATAGCGGTCATTTGGGTCTTTCGAACGTTCAAAATGAACTGTAAATCTGATCGGGATAGTCATATTGAACGAGAGTTTGAAAGGGATTATTATCAGAAAGCATACCGACGGGCTTCTCCTCCACCTTTTTTCCCTTCCCCTTGTTGGCAGCCTTGGGCGCGCCAGCGGCGAGTTTCTTTGCCTCGCTAGTGGCGAGTCAGTTAAGAATCACGAGTCAATGACAATACAACGCGCACAAGGATAAGAACGCCGCTCCTGCGGCACGGAGGAGCGGTAGCAGTACTGGACCCAACAAGCTCGCCACAACGTCAGCATTGCACCCTTCCATCTCCCACAGCACTCCGATAAACTCATAGAATCCGGCGTCGACGAGCGATGATTCAGATGGGGTGATATGCTCGAAGAGCTGTGGGTCGATCTTTCTCATTAGTTCCTGCATCACTTCGCGACACTGCACCGCGTTTCGAATTGCCTATGAGCGAAGATTCGAATCAGCTCTACTCTCCCTTGACTCATAACAACCAGCTCTTACCAGAAAGTACCCGGCAGGCTTTCCCGCAAGCTCTCCAACGACGAGTAGAAAGATCGACTGGTGGAGTGTTGCGAGCCCGACCTGGTTATAGAAGAGCCGGTCCTCAGCCGAACGCGAGGCTCCATCCTCTGGCCCGCTGTCGTCGAAACAAGACGGCCATTGCGTCTGATTCACGATGGGCAAAGCGGGAGGAACGAAGGCGGGTGAATTGAGAACTTCGAAGACGGCGTTCCGAACAGCTTGCCCTTGTGTGAGCGCAGCAGGCATAGCGGCTTTTTTGAGGACCACAAAGGCCAAGCTGGCGTGGGGAGAGTGAAAAAGAGAGAAGATCAAGAGAGCAATTGGCGCACTGGTCATTCCCACGCTAGCGGCTAAATCACGGGACCAAACAAAACGCTTGAACCGAAGACCGACCCACACAGCAGTGGACGTTCAAATTCGACCTGAACGCTTTCTGCTGAGCAATTTGGCCCTGGAATCTCCCACCAATAAGGATAAGCTTCAGTTGAAAAGGTGTCGTCGGTCTTTTGCGATTTTCTGGGAAAGGTCCCAGTTCAAAGGGAAAACCGGTCGTTTGTAGACATCAAACGGGTCGCTGCTTTGTTGAATTTGGAGCAGGCCTTCCGAGCAACATTGCAAAAAGAAATTCTCCACTGAGGCGAGTGATCAAAAAAGAGGAAGATATCCAATTCCAACCTTTGCGTCGCGCATAATCGACATCTATGATACCTTCTAGAATCTGCCTTGAGCTTGTACTTTCCCAGGCTTCTGTAGGTGAAAAAGTGTGAAAAATCACGCAAAGCCACACCGCCACTGATGTGGTTCAACTATTCTTACTCAATGGGGAATTCATCAAACGATCTACGATCATTGTGGCGCTTAAAGTTCCGTGCCGAAGTAGTGGACACCATAGCCCAGTGGTACAGCCCCAGACGTTTGAGTAAAATCAAATTGCCGGAGGCTGGGAGTTCGAACCTCCTTGGTGACACGAGAGTGGTGAACACGGCGGCGGGTCTACATGTAGAGCGAGGCCGACTCTACATTGAACCCCTGCCCCGCGTGGGGCACATTAGGCATCTCACCTGTGCAATCGTTGTGTCTTCCCTGGGTCTTTTTGGCCATTCCTAGTCGGACTTCCCGAGGATGAGGGAGCCTATTCAGGTCGATTCTGGCACTCCAACAATTTATCTCTCGAAGCACGAGGCTCTATCGAATCTCTCATCTGTGTTCTTCCCAAGTACATTTTTACCCACATGCGCAGCCGTTGCTTGAACTCAACATATGCAAGAGGCTTGGAATGCAATGGAACACGGACCGAAGGGAGAATTGGTGGGCCGAGATCGTTTGGTTGAATTTACGACTGCACTTACTCACCCATCGTAGCGACATGAAAAACTCAACATTTGTTAGATGTGCGACGCTGACGACACTCATCCAGGGGCGTGCGGTTAAATTGGACAATTCTGAAGCCATGGGGCATGGCAGTGATAATGTGGCCGATGCCACCTGAATCCTGGCCGTTCCCGATTCCGACACGTTGGATTTAAGTCCTCGATTTGGTACACACTCCTTTTTCGTTTCAGCTTCTCCGACGGGTTTGCATTGGTTGGTCCTGCTTTGACCAAATCCGTCATCAATGTGTAGTGAAATCTTCGTGCTTTCATTTCCTTGTGTTCTCTCTGCTCGAATGTTTCCCGTAAGTGGAAGTTCCCGTGCGCATCTCGGCACGGTCCGTGCCGATTTGTGCCGAAGAACAGTCGAAAACAGAACGAGACTTTTTTTATTTGGCTGGTGCACGGAGCAAAGGAAAGCTAACTGAGGATACTTACCTAACGGCAATAGATTGGGCCTTCGTTGTTTCGCCTTCCAGTTGAAGATTCGACTCAATGTTTCAATTCATTTTCAACTTGAACTAGATCAGCGCAAGCCATCCAATAGTGAAGTGGATGCTCTTCATGGCTGCAGTGGAACATCGCACTTTGTCGTCTCCAGCCTTAATGATGAATCGAAGGCAAAACCAGTAGCAGTCATAAGACTGAAAGTGGTGGGCATCGGGGCCGAGAAGACGGGTCCGGCTTACAGATGGCTAGTATTTATGGGCTTGCCCTCGGACTAAGTTCAGTCTCATTCATATCTAACTCCTAAGTAGGAGCCGAGATACACCGTGGCGAAATATTACGAATAAGGATTGAGCCGAAGAATAATCGGGAGCCAGGTTATTAGAAATATTGAGAGCAACTGGCACGCCTCTCAAGCTGCCACTTGCAACTATTCCTTGCAGGCTTTGCCCTCCTCTGTAGCACAAATATTTCAGTCACTAGAACAATGAAGAATTGGGCAGACAACTCACCCGGAGGACAATCCCCAGCCATAACCTTCACCCCCATCCCCTCAAAAACACCAGGAAAAGTGGCCATATGCAGCCCGTAGAAGATATCATACGCCCTAACGGGGACGAAATCACGTCGATGTACGTGGCCGTCCCGCCGCAGATGCTCTCAAAGCGCATCGTCTCCGCGTACCGTATCGCGGGCGTGAACGTCGGGGCGTCGCCGTGGTAGGAGAACTCGAATGTGTCGGGACGCAGGGAGTACATCGTGAGCGTGTCGGTGTACAGCGCATCGTCGAAGCGGCCGGAGCGCGTCGCGCCGGGGACGCCATCGACGCCGGTGGTGTTCGTCACTACGGTGCCACCCTGGCGGTGCGTCCGCATCAGTGTGGGCTGACGAGCACTGAATTTGGAAGTAATTGGGATAAGTACTCACATACCACTTGATATCGAAGAACGACTTGGTGACGTCCGTGAATGTGTCCAACGGTGCGTTGAATGTGTAGCTGTTGTGGACGAAGCCGACGTGCGAGTCCTCGGCGCAGTGAATGTCGTTGAGTACGTTGGGGTGAGCGTGGGCGGAGACGACGCAGAGCAGAGCTACGTTCGGGATGAGAGTGAAGCGCATGGGGAAGCGAGGAAGTGCGTAGAGGTCGTTAAATACTGTCTTGATGGGAACCGACCCGAACAAGGCAGCCGTTCGCCCAAAGATGGCTGTCTTTCCAGGGTTGTTCCAGGGAGCGGGGTGGACGGAAGCGAGGAGGTGAAAACCTTCGTCCCGCCGCGGTAACGATGGGGAATTATCTGTGTATCGACTACACTTATTCCCACCTTATTGTGTGTCTTCCTGCGAGGGTGCGCTCGTTTACACTTGGCCCCACCTCCAGCCGTTGACAATGTGTTAGTGTTGCCGCGGCTCGGCTTCGGGCGGCTAGCCGGTTCCGAGCCGATTGATTTGAGCGGGAATTAGCACCAACCCACCTTCAAAACTTGCGACTTCAGAGACCCAAATAACGGCTCTTGCATTGGAAACCTTCAGTTTGGAGTCCACGTGCGCCAGGCCTCAACGGCTCGCTCGGCTTAGCCGAACCGAGCCAGCCGTAGCCAGCCGGCGGCAACACTACAATGTGTTTGTTCAAATTGCGGCGGATTCTCGGGCATCTCGGGGACGAGTTCCACTTCGCGTTGAGCTGTAACTGTCACACCCCACCTACCATTCTCTCCTCGTCCGAAGCAAACTAACGTCGCCGCTTCGAGTCCGCTTGTGAACACAATGTCTTGATTCTGGCAGTATTTTCGCGCGGCGAGCTTTAACCGTCGGAGTTCGCCGAGCCATCAAGCCGATCCGGCGTGCGCTTCCCACGCAGCCTTCTTCAACCTCTACCACCACCATCTTGCGTGTACCTGGTGGACAAAGGCACGCAGCCGCTCTGTGGCTCTTTTACAGCTCTTTGCGGAACTTAGGGCACGGGCTGTTTTTTTCTGTTTTCTACTGTTTTGGGCAGAACACCTGCGCTGGGTGCAGTTTTGGTCCGATTCCTTTGGCGTAGTGCGTGTTGGAATCGCGCTACGAATCCGCAGTTGCCCATATCCACGACTTTGTATTTTGATGCCATCATAAAATCTTCACCCAAAAAGTTCCGATCCAAGCAGGACAGCTGTTGCACGGTCAAAACTATTCATATGGACTTGAGTTTTTGTGAGTATGGACTTTGGTATGTTCTCTAGTTGATGGGCTCATACGATTTGTGGTTTCCCCCCTCAATTCAATCCAGCGTGACAGTTGCTGAGTACAACATTTCACCTTTGAATAGATGGCACTGTGAAGAGAAATCTGATAATGTGTGAGTGTATAAATATGACAGTTGACTTGATAACATAATGAAGTATGTGCTTTAAAAATTCTAGGTCCTTCGGACTCATATTGGCAAGGCTACCAGTGTCCTACCGGACTACGATGTTTTTCGGGTCAAATTTCAATGATGGGATCAAAATACCAAGTCATGGATATGAGCAACTGCGGATTCGCAGCGCAATTCCAACGCGCACTACGCCAAAGGAATCGGACCAAAACTGCACCCAGCGCAGGTGTTCTGCCCAAAACAGTAGAAAACAGAAAAAAACGGCCCGTGCCCTAAGTTCCGCAAAGAGCTGTAATTTCACCCTGCTGCTTATTCACCCTCAACAGATCACCTTCCAGCTTCATCCACTCTCGCCCTGGACGCACCAAGTTCTGTGCGTTGTTTCTGGTCGAACCGTCGAAAGGCTTCAATCCTACAGCCTACGTTCGGTATTCATTAGATTTACGCATCCCTCCAATCACTATCCCAATCCCCCTCGAACTTCTTGCAAGTTTTCAAGCCTTTGTTCTCCAGGCCCCAACGGCAATTCAATCAGCTCACTCTCGCGCTGTCCGGCCCGCTGAGCGCTGGACTCCCAGTGTTTTTCGCGCAGCGAGGGTGAGGTCCACCATCCAGTAGTTTTCGCGGAGCGAGGACCGGACACACCAAAATACCTGGTGTTTTCTCGCGGAGCGAGTCGGGCTGAACCGTACCATTTTTTCGCGGAGCAAGTCTGGGGTCCGAATCCTAGTATTTTTCGCGGAGCGGGTCCGGCTCTGGCTTTGCTGTCTTGTCTCCGCTGCTGGTTTAACCGAAAGAAGAAAAACGGTTAAAATGCACTAAGTCGCGATCAAAAGTGGACTTGTGATTTTTTTTTCCTGCTCCACTCGCTCTGTGTGAAGCCGGAGGCAAAATTGCACCAAGTCGCGATCAGAAACGGAGTTGGAATTTTTTTTTGGCTGTGCCTGGTTTTGTTGTCCAGTTGTGACTTTGAATTCATCCAGCCTACAGATCCCTGAACCGTTCACCAACAGATCAGCTTCAAGTAAACTTGCACGCCGACTGCTTTCCAGGCCGTCGAACGAACGCACAGTTCAGTTGGCTCATCTGCAGCAACTCAACTGCACTTGCTTACTACTCTTCCTTCCTTCCGCAGGCTTGGGGCTCAGATATCGCGATCGATATTGATATCTTTGTCGCGATCTTGGACCATATTATACTGGTAGCGAGGTGAGCAAGAGCTTGAGGTGAGTCTTGTCTTGGCGGTAGTCAACTGCAAGGTGTTCGAGATGACTTGCTTAACGGTCAATCTAGTCGTGATTTGAACTCCAACTCCAACTCCAACGACTTCAACTCCAACGAATCCAACGGATCCAAAATCACCCTCAACATGGCCGTCTTTACCGCCGCATTAGCAGCCGCATTCGAGTTCCGTTGGCTCAAGCTTTAAGGTCACCATCGGTGTATGGAATTATATTCGAATTATTGGCTCGTTCTTACGGTTTGTTTTAATCCTACATACCGTAGTGCTTTGTCTAAGTGTCTCAGTGTCTCAGTCTGATAGTTCGCAGGTGTACATTGTACATTGCACATTGTAAATTGGTATAATATAATTCCCTCATCCAATTTATCCAACAGAACTCCGACGGAGGAGGTGTGAGTGAGTGGCGCGCGGGGATGGGTTTGGATTTGGATTTGGATTTGATTGAGTTCGAGCGAGGAAAGAGAAAGGGGAAAAGGAAGGAGAAAGGAGGTAAAGATCCGTTTGTTGATTGGGATCCGGTTGTTGATTGAGGATTGGGTTGATTCGAGTTGAGA